GTCATTGGTGGTGGGCCCGTGAGCTGGAGGTCAAAGAAACAGGTGGAAACGGCGGGCTCATCAGCTGAAGCAGAGTATATGTCGATGTATCATGCAGCCAAGGAGCTGATTTGGCTGAGGAAGCTGCTGGAAGAGATAGGGCATGAGCTAAAAAAAGCTACCCCACTGTTTTGTGAGAATTCCAGTGCCATCGCAATGTCCAAGAACGCTGTGCTGCATGGGCTTACCAAGCACATGCAGATCAAATGGCATTGGCTGCGGAAGGAGGTGCAGAGGGGATCAATCCAGCCCCTCTATGTGAAGACGCAGCAGCAGCCGGCAGATTTTCTCACGAAGCGGCTGGCTGAAGAACCCCACAGGCGCTGTGCTAAGTTGTGCGGCATGAGCCTTAACTAGGCTCACGCAAAGGGAGTGCAAGCAGGCGACTGCTTGAGGGGGAGTTTGTTGGGTGCAAAATACGATTTTGGCACTGCAACCAGCCGCCTGCATGACGTTATGCATTTTGTGTGTGTTCAGTGTGCATTCGTTTTCGCATCCCGTTTCATGTGTTGTTGCTGTGGGATCATGATCAGTCATGACGGATCATGACGAGTCATGTTCGTTCATGTCGGCTCATGTACGTTCATGCTTTCTTTGTGGAGATAACTCTAGCAACGGGAGCTTGACTACGGGGAAGGCACGTGCGTGAGAGGGATCTCTGCGTTCGTTCACTTAGTCGTTTCCTTGTGTGCACACTACTTGCTAGTTCACGGGGAGAATTGGCAAGAGTTCCACTAGGAAAACATCACAACAAAGGTTCAGAATGATAGCAACAACATTGGCATGCATCACTACATCAGAGCTAGCACAGCTGCTGGTCGACCTCCAGCGCAGCACAGTCGACCGCGTTCCAGCGCAGCAGTGCTCGCACCGCTCCAGCGCTGCAGAGATGCGGCGCGCCAACGTTGCATGTCCGTGGTGTGCCAACGCTGCAGCAAGTCGGCTGCACAGCGTTGCACCCGCAGGACAACGGTGCACCTGCTTCGCAGGTGTGCGCGGCTGGTTGGCGTCCAACTCCCCGTCACGTGCCCAGCGCAGACATTCCCGCTCGTGACGGCGCCCATCAGCCACGTCGACCTCGGGATACCACCCCCGAGGTCGTCCTCGCAGAAATCTCCCCCGGCGGCCTTCGCACATGTCGCCCGGGTATCCCGGTCGACCGGGCAACCCTGCCTGGTCGTCCAGCCCAGTCGGACGCCGGCTACGCCAAGCCCGGCGTCCCCAGGTCGGCGTCCTGGCGTCCTGGTCGGCGTCCACTCGCCCAGGATGCTGTCTAGACGCCTTGGGCGGCGTCCAGGCACCCGGGACACCGAGCAGACCATCAGGTCGACGTCCGGCCTCCCCGGACGCCGGGTAGACGCCCAGGTCGGCGTCCAGCCTCCCAGGACGCCGTGTACACGCCCTGGTCGACGTCCAGGCCCCCAGGACGCCGAGCAGACGCCCTGGTCGGCGTCCACCTGCTCGGCGCCCTCCAGCCGGGCGCCCACCAGCTCCACGCCCTTGCAGTGGCCCCCGTGCCCACTGCTGCAGGTCGGCTGCATCCCCCCGCACAACCGACCACGAGGTCGGCTCCGCCCAAGCGAGGACGGGGCCAAATACAACTCCCGTTGACATTCTTTTCATGGACGAACATGCGCGTTTATGAAAATTCTGTGTTCATGAATGTTCCGTGTTTCATGAATGTCGAATTGTTTTCATGAGTGCTGTTGTGAATGTCGAGTGAGTTTGGTGTGGGGCTCGATAGTTTGACCAGCCCCGTTGACCACTTCGCACTGGTCAATTGAAAAGCGCGCGAATTCAGGACCCGCTCGTGGGGTCCTGACATGCGCGTGGCTCCTCTGGGCCCACGCGTGTGTCGCTACTGTTTCGATCGTGCACAGTGCGCACGATCGATACAGGACGGAGCGACATGATTGCTCCGTCATGCGCAGGAGAACGCACGATCGCGTCAGCGATCGTCTTGTCCTGCATGACCGAGAAATATCTCGGTCGTGATGAGGGGCACGTGGGGCACGTGGGGCACGCGAGATTCTTCGGTTGACTAACGAGATTTTGCGCTGACCAGGGGAGCAGAAAAATTCGCCTGAAAGTCGCGCTGCTTTGCGTCATCATTTCGACAGTGGTACAAAACGGTAAAGTCTGTTTTGCAACTGAAAATGGGAAACCCACGGGAGTGTTCATGATTAATACACGAGCGATCATGGATGTTCATGAGGCGAGTCAGCAGAAGAATTCGGCAGTAGTACAGGTTGAAGACACTTATTCTACAGAGGCAAATCAAGCCAAATTCTGAAGCAGTTTTACAACCGTTTTCCATGACAGCAAAGCACAGACCTGGACGATAGTTAAACAATTGCCTTGTGTGTTTTCCTTTATGTGCCTAGAACCTCTCATACATGTGTGCTTGTATTTGCTTTCCATTCAACAATGCTATTATGATTTTCTCAAGTGCAAATTCTAC